ACAAAACTGGATTCTTCATTTGGCAGTAACCCACAAAAACTGGAGGGGTTACTGCCAAATGAAGACAAAAATTGGATGGGTTACTGCCAAATGAAAACAAAAATTGGATGAACTTCTCCCAAATAAGACAAAAAATTAAAGTTCTGCACCAAATGATTTAAGAAGCTTAGAATTTATTAATTCTCATTTGGCAAAATTAAGGTTTTAACTGAATGAAAAAGTTGGTAACACAATGCCACACATTATCTTCCAATTTTCTGAAAAAGCAAAAGTTCCAATAACGTGTGAACTCTTAAAAGTCTTTTTGGCATAGTTTAAAAATATTTTGTGAATTTCACTACTGCCAAGGCTAATAAACTATGACGTTAAGCTTCTAGCATTAAAAATCCATAGTTTAATCAGTAAGAACACCTGTCTGATATAGGTTTTCAACATTACTTGGTCATAATTTTCATTTCTTAATAACATTAATAATCATAAAAACCACTTCACAATCTTCCACGGGATAACTTGGCTCAATGTAGCCATATCTAACAGAACGAAAAGGTTTTATCACAGATGGAGTGCAGTTACCTATCTATCAAAAGACTCAATTTAATAGCAAAACTTCACCATTGACTTAGATAAGGCACTCAATCTTACACGGTTTTTGACTTCATTTAAATATGTAGATAAACATTATCAGAAGAACACAGACTTAAATCAGTTAAGTGTATCCATCTTAACTTACTGGTCCTGGTCATTAAAAAGGTTCTGACTAATAAACACCAGAAATCATTCATTTCAGTTTTATATTTATTGAGTAAGCAAACTTCCCGGGCTCGGCATGGCCCGGTGGATAAGTCACTCGGCTCGCGAGTTTGCGTCCTTGTCGCACCAAACATGCCCACTTGGGCGTGGGGCTAGCAACTCTGCCCCAATAACAATCTGCTAAAGAAACTAAGACAACACTTCTGTCGTCGAAGTGTTGTTGTAGCCCTATGTTCCACTAGGAACGACAGGAACTAAGAAGAAGAAGCAAACTTCCAAACATAGTCTGAACTATCAATGTCAAAAAACATGCAAAGAAAGTGAATTTTGTTTTTGCCGAGCACAAAGTTATGAAATGGGCTATCTGTACTGTTCCCATCACAGTTATCAAAACACATTTTCTAGCATTGTAAATCCACAGACTTGCTTCTGTGCTACAGGGGGGGTAACAAACATTAATTGTAATAAATAACCATACAAACTTATTACTTATGACTTCAGTTACACACTTACTGTCATTTCATGGTTTTGATACTTATCTATTAACTATTTTATAGTGTATTATGAGGATTAATAATTGTTTCTACAAAGGCCAATTCTGATTAATAAACATTCTTATTGACAAATATAGTTTCTTCATTTTCAAAGAAATAAACCTTGAAAATGTAATTGCATTGATTAATAAACTGAATATATATATATATATATTAATTAAATTCTAAAACATTCAACTGATTACAATTGTTTCAAAAGCTAAATTTTTTCCCGAATGTGAGGATACTTAATTTTAACTTCCTGAATGGAAAGAACGTAGGAACTTGTAAAATCCTGTATTAATCTCTACATTATAAGAAATATAAATTTTGTTTAATCTTTCACATTAAACAGAAATCAGATGCCTCAATAGTAGAAAGTAACTATATATTTCCAAAATAATATTCTCTAGAACAGTGGTTCTCAAGGTTTTTGTTCATTTGTGGATCACCTAAATTTTTCTTTTTAATTTTGGTAGACCATAACAGGATCAATACACTACGTTGCCATTTCATTTCCATAATTATAAAACCATTCTACGGACTACTTGAAGGGACCCCACACATTACAGATTGAGAACCCTTGCTTTAGAAAGAACAATTCATTATTTTAAACATTGACGTGCTGTTAACAAAGAATATGGAAAGATAACATGCAAAGGATTAAACACAAAAACATATTAAGCAATATGTTAAGTGCATTGCAGAGAAAACCAACTAATTATGTCACTCAACAAAAATATTCATGCAAGAACAAGTTTATATTTCTCCTTTTAAAGGGAGTTAATAGTTTTTAAAAATGAAGGAAGTCAATAGATTCTAGATTTGAAAAAAAACAGTCTTTTTCCAGAGAATTAACAACATTAATAAGTCTGATTAATATTTTAATTTCTGCTCAAAAAAGCTCTTATTATGTCCTTTAAGTGATATTGAAGTTCATCTTTGTTTAATACAATAAATAATGGGCTTCTATAGAAGTCTCGTTATGTTCTTTATTTTCTAATCACTCTAATGAAGAGAAGCAAGTTGGAAAATAATTTTAATGTTTTACTTCGTATTCTGTTTTGTAAAATATTTTAGGAATTTTTACATTTCTTCCTTGCATTTTCTGTGGTATGTATTTTTTAAAAAAAATTTGTATATTTAAAACTTTGTTTCAGTTTTAAGAGATCATAATAACAGGTACATATATAGTAAACAATTATTTTAACTTAAAAAAAATAATGAAAGAAATAAAAATCACTGACCGCTGACATCAAACTTGTGGAGTCCGACAAACCTGAAGCACCTTTCTAAAGTAAAGATAACAGATATAAACCTAACTGGTCTGATATGCAGACCACTTTCAAATATGGAATACATCTTCCACTATAAAATAAATACATACTCATATAGTTACCTCAATTACATCCAGATCAAAATATATTTATAAAAAATATCAAATCCCAACTTAAAAAATAATAAACTCCAGAAATTAAGAGGGATGAGAATGGTCTAACGAAAAAAAAAAGGAATATTTCGAGCCAAATGTTAGGGTAGTCTGGAGAAAAGCTCCTCCATAAAATGTTTGCAAATTTAAAGCTCTTTGGAGCATTCTCATTCTCCTGCTTATTTTTGTAATATATTTGACATAGATATTTTCCTTAAATTTCACAGTAAATTAGCCAAACTTCATTAATCATTTGATAATGTTATATACATTAGTTGAAGTGTATTAAAATTGTACAGTAACCACATAAAGCATAGTTTATACGTTTATTGCATAAAGCTTTTACTATTAAATCTACCATTTTAATGACATCCCCCAGTTTCGATTTGATTATTTTGGTTGACTCCCAACAAAAAAAAAATGTAATTTCTGTTTCTTTCTCCAACCAATGAAACCCATTTTTGTTTTTAACCAAATTATCAATTTCACGAGCCTTTGCTTGCTTCATCATGCTGCTTAATAAAATTTTTTCATTTGTATGTCTTCGCAGAGATACATTTTTTTCTATTGTTTCTTCTTCCAAACACTTTTAAATCAAATGTCATTCTTTCATTTCACTGTAGATTGACTTGAAACTTGGTAGGGCTATAACTTGGTCCAATACACTCAGACAAAGGTAAAACAACCCAAAAATGTATATTTTGGGCTCCTGTGCAGTCATACTTACAGCAATCAAGATGAAAATTGGCACAAATATAAATTTTTATGCGCCCGACACATTTAAACTGCCCATTTTGAGTCTTTTTAGGGGGGGTCAGAGCTCACAAAAATAAAGCATAATTTTTTGATATTTTGTCAATTAGCTGGCCATATTTGGACCAACTTACTAGACTATGCACACTAACAAAATTCGATGACGAGGAACCCACTTTGAGACTAATAATGGCTGGAGACGGCTTGAATGGGTA